GAGTAGTATAAAAATATTTTATTAATCTGGACAATATAATTACTTATTATTATTTATTATATTATTATATAAAAAATTAGTAAAAATAAATTAATTAATTTTATTTTTGCTAAGTTTTTTATGTAATAGGTAATACCTTGCCTATCTCTAGAAAATAGTACTGTTAGGAAAATAATTGTAGAGCACTACTGCACTTTTGCTGATATTATGAGTTATGCGAATAAAATTTTCTATTACATATTCATGAGTGAACTTAGGTTCATAAATATTTTAGAAACAATATCATTGCAAGTTTCTAATCAACTTTGAGTTTGAACTTTGAAGTTTATAAACTCAAGTTCAGATTTAAGTTCAAACTTTAAAACTGAACTAGAGTTATAAACTTCAAGCCAGGTCTTTTTTTTTTGAACTCCTTGAGCCTGAATTGAAACTGGATTGAACGAACCACTTAACATCCCTACTGAAGAAGATGCTTGAAATAGGTTTGTGGAAACTTTGCCGGTATCACTTTAATCGACCGGGTAAAATCGACACCCAAAAAACATGATTAAGGTCATGATAATAATAATATTTAGTAAAATATTAACTGATTTAGTAAGTGATTTTTTTTTCGATTCTTCAAAATGAAAAGCGATCATTGCAATCTCGACAAACCAAGTGATTCTTTTAAATCATAAAAACAATATTCTAAAATATACGTTGATTGCTGTAACCAAATTTTCATTAATAATAATCGACAAAAGAAAATCGAAATAAAATTATAAAAATAATTAAAAAAAATGCAATTGCACCAGAAAACCTTGTAGATTTTTGTAGATTTTATTTTAATGCTCTTCCGGAAGATTATAACTCTGATTATTTATTTGAGCAAAAAATTTTTTATAAATCTGAATCCGAGACGCAACAAAAAATTATTGAAGAAAACATAATAAATTCAAATAGTAACAAATAGCTCGATATTATTAATAAAAACTTTGAGCCATTGCATAAATTGGAGGTGGATTATAATTATTTTAAAGGCAATATAATATTCCAAATACTTAGAAAAACCATGATCATAATACTTTCTGGCTGTAATAACTATTACGTTCATTGAATTTATTTTTTTTTATTGTTTTAAGATGGTATAAGTTTTTGTTGATTATATAATACAATTACAAATAGCTATAATAT